TAGAACTTTCAGAGTGGTGAAGAGTAGGGGGTCAGGAAATGATTCAGATTGGGTAAGGAGAGTGCTGTCTCACTTCCCCAAACTTCAGTCTCCCCTTCTTCCACATCACTTATTCTGATTTGTCCAAGAAATAAGTGAAGCCACTACACCAAAAAAGCAGAGAATCAGTGTGAGCACCTTCCTTTCTTGCCCTCTCCCTTCTGCTCCCATGCAAAATCTCCCAGAATGAAGTCATATAGTATGGCCAAGCTTAGTCATGCACCCCATTTCCTCTCCCTCCTACCAGCCAGGATCAAACAGGCAAACTTGACAAGGTGGCGAATGGATTTTAAGGCCCAGGAATTCAATCCCACCTCATTCTTTCAATGGCTGTCATGGAGTAAGAGAAAGAACCAGATGGTCTTGATTTCAGAGGCTGGCTTTGCTATTTATTAGCTATGTGGCCTTTTGCAAAACACTTAATCTCACCTCTAAAAGGAAGACAATCAGCCTTGGCCAGTGTGGCTCAGTTGGTTGGAGTGTCGTCTGGTACACTGAAAGGTGGTGGATTCAGTTTCTGGTTAGGGCACATACTCAGGTTGTGGGTTCAACCACTCAACCTTTTTTAGGCAAATAGGAAGAGTTATCTATAGCAAGAGGAACAGCTAGAACAAAGCTGTGAAGATGTGAAAGTATGTGATCGAACCCAGGAACCAAGAGGCTAACAGTTGGATACCAGTCAGAGCTCATGCTCAGGTTACAGGCCAGTTGATGATGGGGGCAGGGGGTGCAGAGGCAGCCAATTAATGATGTTTCTCTTTCATTGATGTTTCTATCTCTCTATTCCTCTCCCTTCCTCTCTCTCTAAAAAATCAATAGAACAGTTTTTGTTGTGTTGTTGTTGTTAATCCTCACCAGAGGATATTTTTCCATTGATTTTTTTAGAGAGAATGTAAGGGAGGGGGAAAGACAGGGAGAGAGAAACATTGATGTGAGAGAAACACATTTGGTAGCTTCCTGCATGCACCCTGACCAGGGCCTGCGATCTAGCCTGCAAACGAGGTATGTGCCCTTGACCAGAATTGAACCTAGCACCCTTCAGGACAGAGGTAGATGGTCTATTCACTGAGCCAAACTGACTAGACCAGATAGGATGGTTTTATAAAAAAGAAAATGGAGACAATCATACTCAAATATCAGGGTCATGCTGACCATTACAGATCAGGTATATAAAGCATCTGGCCTGTAGAAGAGACACAAGACACTGTAATTGTATCACCATTATCATCATCACCAACAACGCCATTATTTAGAACTTGAATTAATGCAGACTCCTTGATGGTTTCATTTCTTCCTGGTTACTATCCTTATGTAGCAGCCAGAGCACTCTTAAAAACCTCCCGTATTACTTAAAACCCTTCTTTGGCTTCCCATGGCACTTTGAATAAAATCAAGCTCCTTCTCCTCATCTCCAGGATGCAGCCTTCCCCCCTTTCCCTTTTATTTGCACCTACATTACATTATACTCTCCCCATTGCTCACCTGCTCCAGCCACACTGGCCCTCTCAGTTCCCTAAACATTTCAAGTTCTGTCAGGTCCTTTGCACCTGAGATTTTCTCTGCCCAGAGAGTACCCTCTGTCCCCTTCTTCCCATATGTTCTCACACCCTTTGGGTACAGCTTAATGCCACCTTCTGTGGCCACTCCACTCCTTTATCTTTTTTACCAGCCTAATTCTTATTTATCACTGTTCATAAATGATTTGTTTTGTGATTATTTATTCAATATCTACCTCCCCCAAAGGAAGTAAGCTCTAGGAGGGCAGGAAAGAGTAAGCTATGTAACCCCAGCACCTAGCCCAGCATGAGACAAGTGTTTGAGTTATTTTTGTTGTTATAACAAGGCAGCACTCAATGCTATAGTACAAACAAATACCAATCCAGCCTCCTTTGTGACCTCAGGACCTCAGGGAGATTAGGATTTCCTAACAATGATTACTAGTCATGTTTCCTTTCAAAGCACTTAACTACTTACTAGGGCAGTGATTTTCAACCTTTTTCATATCATGGCACACATAAACTAATTACTAAAATTCTGGAGCACACCAAGAAAATATATTTTTTGTTGATCTGACAAAAAACATTAGGTATAATTTTTATTTATTCACTCTGGATGGCTATTGTTGTGTTGACTGTTGTCATTTTTTCTTTTTTTAAAATCCTCACCCGAGTTGTTTCCATTGATTTTAGAGAGAGAGGAAGGGAAAAAGAGAGAAAAAAACATCAATATGAGAGAGAAACATTAATTGGTTGCCTTCTGTATGAACCACAACAAGGGATCAAACCCTGCTACCCAGGTATGTGCCCTGACGGGAATTGAATCCCCAACCTTTTTTGGTGCATGGGACAGAGCTTCAACCAACTGAGTCACCTGACTAGGGCTAATGTCATTTTTTTTTTATTTGACAATTTAATGGAAAAGAGATCAGTGTCCCTGACTAAAAAGTTAGACATTACATGTTATAAAAATTCTTGCAGCATACATATGGAAAATCACTGTACTACAACATCAAAGGTTGAACTTTCAATTTTCTATACTATTCAAATTTTCCATAAGAACATGTATTTTTTTAAGAACATGTATTTTTAATAAAAATATCTTATAAACCCTGTATTTAACAACGAGGTGCCTCACAGGGAAAAATATGATTAAATGCATTTGTTTTTAAAAGTAAAATTCACAGTAAGATAAGAAAGACCAACCATGGCCTTGCCAGTGTGGCTCAGTGGTTGAGCGACATCAACCTATCAACCAGGAGGTCAAGGTTCAATTCCGAGTCAGGGCATATGCCTGGTTGGGGGCTTGATCCCCAGTGTAGGGTGTGCAGAAGGCAGTCGATCAATGATTTTCTCTCATCATTGATGTTTCTCTCTCTCTCCTCCTCTCCCTTTCTCTCTGAAATCAATAAAAATATATTTAAAAAATGACTGGACTTATTAAAAGGAGAGAAATTGCTAAACAAAGGGTATTGTCTGACATGTAAGAGAAGGTTAGTGATTCAATAAATGATTTTCCAGTTGGTCAAATGTAGATAATATGACAAAGTGAAATGAAAATTTTTACAGTATCCCTTGGGTTAAGACTGATGGAATACATAGTCCCTGGCAAATAATTAGCACTTAATATTTGTTGAATTTAAGTTTCTGTAAGCCTTTTTCAGTCAAAGAGGTAACCATACATATTGTAACTTTAGAAAGGACTATATCCCCATATATTTTTCTTGTTGCTCAGGGGTGCATTACCAATTACAATTTCTATTTACAATTACATTTCTATTTAATGTTGATAAATTAAAATCTTCTTTCAGGTTTTAAAAAATAATAATTTAAAAGTATGTCATCTCCTCTGTAATATTCCCCTCCCACATAAATGCATACTCCTTACCCACTCCTTCCTCTTTTCTTAAAAAGCTCCTATTTCCTGTTATTACCTTAAATATGGCATTCCCCTGGTGATACCATTATTCTCAAAACCCACTCTCTTTCCTTGTGTGCTCATCTCCCAGGGCCAATAGAGGAAGTTGCCCTTGCTAACCCCAGCCCTGGGCCCAAGGACTTAAGTTCATTTCTTTCTATTCTGGTCATCAGGGACCCTGATGTTCTTTTCTATTCCATGTTGCTTCTACTGTCATCACCCTTGATAAATTGAGTGCCTGTCTTGATGACTCTTTAATACTTTTCCATAGCTCACCCACAAAAGCTCATCCTGACTACCATTATCATCAGAACATCTCTATCTCCAGGATAGGGAACATTGGAATTTCCTGTTTAACCATTTTTACGTGTACAGTGCAGTAACATAAGTACTTTCACATTGCTAAGCAACCATCTCCAAAACTTTTTTCATCTAACTAAACTAAAATTCAATATCCATGAACAGTAGTTCCCCATTCCTTAGTTAATTTTTGTATATATTCTCCAAGAAACTGTTTCAGATTTTTCCCACTTAGCCTCAAAAATTCAAACTCATGTGTATTTCTATTAATCTCTACAATTCTTCTCACAATCTATTTTATGAAGAAGATTCAAACCATTTACAAGATTTCAAGGTCATGTTCCTAGTCCTTAAAATCTCTCTCATTCTCTCACTTTTCCTCCTCTCCTATAAAAAAAGAAGTATCCCTTCTCCTTTTCAAAGCTTACTCTTCCAGTAGAGTTATTTCCCTCTCTCTTCTCTGTCTCCACTAGGGCTTTATTATATCAAGTTTTCTACTTTTCATTGGTTCCTTTCTTTATGAATTAAAACATTCTCAAGAGTCCCACATCACAGTAAAATACTGTTAGGGTTGCTGAAGGAGGAATGCATGAGGCCAAAAGTGGTAAGGGATTATAAATTTTTTAGGTCATCTGATACCAAATGGGCTGAGCCCCAAAATGTCACCATCACCCAGAGACAGGAAGTCAGAGATTTTAAAGGACTCTAGGCCAGTGGCCGGCAAACTCATTAGTCAACAGAGCCAAATATCAACAGTACTTCTTCAAAATAGATTCGCCCAGGCCAAAAACCGACTTCTGCACATGGGCCACGAAGTTTCAATCGCAATGTACGCGCGCCTGCACGTGGTTAAAGAGCCACACTCAAGGGGCCAAAGAGCCACACGTGGCTTGTGAGCCGCAGTTTGCCGACCACGGCTCTAGGCAGGTTTTTTCTGGGCAGAGAATTCTCTGGGTAGATCCGGATCCTAGGAAGTTCCAGAGGAAAAGTATAATAGTCTCAGCAGGGGAAGTATAATAGTAAGTAAAATGGAATGTCAGTTGTGAAGTGATCTAGTAGAGGGGGTGTTGATTCAATTATTTGATCAGACCTAACATTCCAGCTTTTTTGTTTTATGGAATAGGGGCGAAGGTCATATCTTCTGTAGTTGCTTCCTGCTAGGGGGGGGGGGGGGGAGGGGTGTTGAAATCAGAGGGAATGGACTTTGATTAAGGTCGTTGGCTGGAACATTGTGTAGATTTCTCATGGCTGGAGTGAGGTGCTGCAGCAGCATGATTTCCCCAAGAGCCTGGCTGGTGAAGGCTCCAAAGCAGTCCTGTTGAGCGACTTGGGAGGTAAAAGCTGGTCCTGAGGCTGCCACAGTGTCGCTTGTCTGGTTTTGCTACTTTTATGGGCCTGGAGCTAAAATACAAATCAGGCCTAGATGTTATCTTTAGGAAGGAAAATATCAGGGCTCTAAGCTGCCTGCCTAGTGATATGAAAGGGGAATATAGGTTACCCGGGGGGTGAGGTTCTTGTTTTCCCTGTTTTGCCCTTGCTAGTAGCTTTCAGGCCCAGTGAGTTTCTATACCTATACCTGGCCCATCATCCTTGCTCTGGAGATCTCAGGGTCTACATCTTCTCCTCCTGAATTCTTTCAAGGAAAAAGGTGTTCAGGGTCTCTTAGCTGCTTCCTGCTGAAAGGGGATGAGATTTTCCTTTAAAGCCAAAATCCTTGCTCTCTGTCAGAGAGATAATGAAGTCTGAGCAAAAGAGGTTGTGATGGTGTCTAGGGGTGGTATATCCTGAGTACAATCAGGGCTTGTAACATGGTGGAGACAAAGTGCTTTCTAAATTTTAGTGTTATTGAGGCAACTACTAGAACAGCAAGAATTATAACAAACTAGTGGCTCGGTGCATGAAATTCATGCACATTAAAAGGGGATTAATTAGAGGAAATATTTTAATATTGCTATTTGCCCTTTCTCTATAATAGAAGTGTCAGAGATGAAAGAAAATTAGTAAAAATATATATGAAAATCTTCCTCCTATAAGAGTCTGGGGCACATCATGAGACCCAGAGTCAAGTCCCTGCCCACCCATGTGTGCCTCAAAATCACACGAGACCCAGACCCAGCTGCTCCCCGGCCACATTGGGCTAGATCCAGACCCAGCCGGTCCCACCCTTGTCAAGCCCGCTGGGCAGGGGGGCACAGCCTCAGGTCCCCTGGCCTGGCACTGGGGCAGGGGGTGCACCTTGAGGTCCCCTGTCAATCCCCGCTGGGTGGGGGGCATGGCCTGAGGTCCCCTGTCAAGCTCCACCAGACAGGCGGTGCGGCCTCAGGTCTCCCAATCCAGTGCCGGGGCAGGGGGCACGGCCTGAGGTCCCAGTCAAGCTCTGCTGGGCAGGGGGCGCAGACTGAGGTCCCCTGGCCTGGCGCCAAGGCGGGATGCACGGCCTGAGGTCCCCTGTCAAGCCCCATGGTGGGGGGTGGGCGCACAGCCTCAGGTCCCTGCTGATTGCTCATTAAGACTTGTTACAGGAACTCAGCCTCCACTGTGGACGCAGACCATCTTGTGTTACAGAAACCCCCGCCTCTGCTGCAGGCAGCCATCTTTGTGGCAGAGTGACAGTCAATTTGCATATTCCCTCTTTATTATATAGGATGGTCTGGCGAAAGGAAAGAGACATTAGTTTGGAGGGTTGTAGTCTAATATAAAAAAATGAGGTTTATTCTCTTAGCTTCATTTGTCTTTGGGTGTGGTTGGCAAATCTCACTAATTGGATTTCTGTTATGTGTCTCCCTGAGTAGGTTGATTTAAGCTACTTATCCTCTGGCTGGGGAGGAATAGTGCAAATCATTACTTTTAAGTGTCCTTGGTTTATGGAAGATAGGATTTACTAGATGGCTACAAACTGCTTAGAATCTAGGTTTTTCTAGATGGCTGCAAACTGCTGTTTAACCATCTCGGTTTCCCTATTCTGCTTGTCCTGGCTTACTGGCCTGTGTCATTTATATAACTTCCTTTTAGTATTTCTCCCTACAAACCTATAACTTTCACAAACCTTCTTACAACTTTAATTCACTTTCTTTTTCCTTCATAATGCATATCCATGCCTTATGCTTCTATTACCAAAACCATACAATTTCTTTCTAATTTAATTAGAATTCTTAACTCTTAGAAACCTTAATTTTCCAATGATAACTAAAAAATAAACAACCAGCATTTCTTAGATTGACATTTATGAACACTCTCCCTTTCAAGAAACATACCTTCAACAAAGAACAAGACATTACATTAAGTTAACAAATCTACTTTATAGATTTTCTGTAAGAAAAGCTAAAGTCAGTTGAACTTAAAAATTAGAAAATTATGTATAGGCATATGAGGCTAGAGAAAAGGTAGAGGAAAGGAGGAAGCAGGCACCAAATGTTAGCATCACTGAAGAAGGAATGAACGAGGGCAAAAGTAGTAAGGGATTATAAATTTACTAGATCGTTTGGATATCAGATTGGCTGAGCCCCAAAAAGGCACCAGCACCCAGGGACAAGGAGTCAGAGATTTTAAGGATTCTAGACAGGCTTTTTCTGGGCAGAGAATTCTCTAGGCAGGTCCAGATCCTAGGAAGGTCCAGAGGGGAAGAATAATGGTCTTAGCAATTGGAATGTGGTCTCAGAAAAAGGGAATGTTGGTTGTGAAGTGGTCTAAAGGTCGGTTCCTATTGGAGGGGGTGTTGATTCAAGTATTTAATCAGACCTAACAAATAACCTCAATACTAACAATCATGATACAACATGGATTAAGTTCTTGCTATGTGCCAGGTACTGTGCTAAATGCTTAAAATATACCTTCTCATATAATTCTCACAAATCCAATGACTTCAAATGATGAGGATAAACCATTATTATGAAGAAACTGAGGCTTTAGAGACTAATTTTCCCAAGATCACCTAACTGGTGAGCAGCACTTGCTCTTCTACATGTATTCTGTCAAAATACCATTCTCTCTTTCTTTGTTTCCCTTTCACTATTGTACTTCTTGAAAAAGTCTCACTCCTTCTTCAAACTGTGCAGTCCACTGACGTTTCTTAGAGAGCCCACCATGCTTAAAGGACTCTCTCCAAGGTCTCTAATCTCCAGCCGGGTCTCTAGTGCTCATCACCAAATGTTCATTTTTGAGATCTTCTCTCTTAGCCTTCATAATATGACCTCTTCTCTTTTTTCTGCTTTTTTTTTTTGGTCATTTTTATTTATTTTATTTTTTTATTAATCCTTACCTGAAGATATTTTTTATTGATTTTTAGAGAGAGTAGAAAGGAGAGGGAGAGACAGAAAGAGAGAAACATCAATGTGAGACACTTCAATTGGTTGCCTCCCACATGTGCCCCAACCAGGGCTGGGGATCAATCCTGCAAACAAGGTATGTGCCCTGACCAGAATCAAACCCCACCCTTCAGTCCACAGGCTGACGCCCTATCCACTGAGACAAACTGGATAGGGTTGGTCTTCTTTTCTAATTCTTTTCTTACCTCTTAAATGTAATATTCCCTATAGTTCCATCTAGAACAAGCATGTCAAACTAAAAGGCTAACACGGGCCAAATAAACAAGGTTCAAGTTTATGTGGGCCGCAAAAAAACAAAAGCTTCAGTTTTCATAGAAACGTAGGTTTATTTTGATAGAGACATGCTGAATACAAAGAGCTAAAATAAATGAGTAACCATTAACATAAATAGAACATTTTAATAAAAATTAATATTTTTCTTGAGCATTAACTTACCAGACACTGAATAACTGCACAAATTAGTAAGTGTAAAGCAAATAAACCTATTTTTTTTTGTTCTCCGGAAGCGAAATATTTCCTGTTGCACACACCAAACAAGTCAGTACAAGACTAATGGTGTGGTAATCGGCTGCTAAAATATTCACTGCTAGTATTAGTGGAGAGAAATGGTGCGCCTGCATGTAAAGCATGTAAGGGAAATGAATGCAATAGTAATCTGTCATTAGTGAATGTTGTAGTTTGTTATTAATAATTATGTATAACAGGATATTATAAAAGTTAAGTTATGAAATTTTATTAAAACATTTCTTGTATACCGTTATATTGGCTGGGCCACAAAAATATTTGTTGCGGGCTGCATGCGGACCGCGGGCCACAAGTTTGACATGCTTGATCTAGAAAGACCATGCTGTCTCTTCCTGCTCCACACTCAGGTCATACAATCTCATTTATTCCTATACCAGCTTCAACTCCTATGCTTTCACAAATGAAGAACAAATCCACATAGCTAATTCTGGCCTCCTGTTCCCATGACTTAGTTTCAGCTCCCTGCCAAAATGTTCATATAATTGTTCTTCAAGAATCTCAAATGTCATCTGTCCCACATCATACTCATTACCTGTCCCTGCCAATGAACTCCACACCTGAGTTTCCTACCCTGAACCACTGGCACCACTTTAACTTCCCTTCATCTCCTGTCTCCCCAGTCCAGAGCTGATACAACCACATCCAAAAAGGGCTGTGGAGGCTCTGTGGCAGACACAACCCAGAATTGGGAGTGGAACTTAGATTGTAACCTAACCTTACCTAGCCACTAGGGATTGTGTGACTTGGTGGAGCTGGAACAGAGATCTCTGGGACCCTTTCTAGTGAGACAGGCTAGTAAACCAGGACAAGTGGAATAGGGAAACTGAGACAGATAGTTAAACAGCCAAGCAGTTTACAGCCATTCTAGTAAATTGCAAAATCCTAACTCCTCTACCCAAGGACACTTAAGAGTAAATAACTACCATCAACAAACCAACAAATGACAAGTGCTGGGTAGGATGTGGAGAAAAGGAAACCTTGTACACTGCTGGTGGGAAAGCAGACTGGTGCAGCCATTATGGAAAACAGTATGAAGTTTCCTCAAAAAATTAAATATGGAACTGCCATTATACCCAGTGATCCCACTTCTAGGAATATATCCTAAGAAACCCAAAACACTAATCAGAAAGAATGTATGCATCCCTATGTTCAATTGATAATAGCTAAGATCTGGAAACAGCCCAAGCAGCCATCAGTAGATGAGTGGATAAAAAAGCTGTGGTACATTTACACCATGGAATACTTTGCAGCAGTAAAAAAGAAGGATCTCTTACCCTTTGAGACAGTATGGAGGGAACTGGAGAGTATTATGCTAAGTGAAATAAGCCAGTCAGAACAAGACAAGTATCATATGATCTCACTCATATGTGAAATCTAATGAACAAAATAAACTGATGAACAAAATAGATCCAGAGACATAGAAGCACAGAACAGATTGTGGAATCTCAGAAAGAAGGCAAGGGAGGGGCAGGCTAAAAGGAGTCAATGCGGGGGGAGGGCGGGAAGGGGACATATGTAATACTTCCAACAATAAAGATTTAATTTTAAGAAAAAGAGTAGAGATCAAGCAAAGGACTTGTATGCATGCATATAAGCATAACCAATGGACACAGACACCAGGGGGTGTGGGCATGAGCAGGAGGTGGCGGGGGGGGGGGGCAATGAGGGGATAAGGACACATATGTAATACCTTAATCAATAAAAAAAAAAAAAGGAAAAAATTGTGTAACAAAAAAGAAAAAGAGTAAAAGGTTTATACTTCTCCTCAACCAGAGGGTAAATAGCTTAAATCACCCTACTCAAGGGAGATAGACAGCAAAAATCCAATTAGTGCCATTTGCCAACCACACCCAAGGACCGATATAATTAAGGGAATACATTTCATTTTGGTGTATCAACATAAAGCTGATGAATATTCTATTGAGATCCTCCTCTAAGACGTTTGCCTAAACTCTCAGCCTTTAAAACCCTCAAGACCCAGGACCCAGAGCATGCAGAGCATCCTTTTCCTCCCAGGAGCATGCTCATGCCTTTCCGTTCTCCTTCTTCTTTCCTCACAAACTCTCTTAAACTCTAAGGGACCTCATGAAACTTGCAATCGGGGGAGCCATGGGCAGTGGCAGTTTGTCCCAGGCTAACCCCCAAACCTGTTTCCATGGCCCCCCTTTCTCTGACTTTCCAGTAAGCTGACAGATGCCCCACAGAGACACACTTCTTTCACTATGACTTTTATTTCTCAAGTGAACCAAAGCAGCCCCGCCTAAGATCTCTCCTGTTTCTTCTTCTGTCCTACACCCTTCCTTATTTCACTGTCCCCACTTTAATAAACATACTCTCAAAATCACCTGGATTTGTGCTGTGAAATCTTTCCTGCACAAATCAAAAACCACACACTACTGCCCGGCTCTGGGCCTGTTTCATGTCCGGTAACACTAGGACTGTATAAAATGCCTGTAGCACTCATCACCTTCATTCTCTCCTTACCAGTCTCACTAACATTGCCCTGGCTCTGTCCTCACTACTTTTTGTCAGGCTATTTTAGTGCCTTCCTAACTGGCCTAAAATTACATTCACAAAACACATTTTTTATTATATTTCACTTGCTTTAAAAACCTTTAAAAGATTCCAGTTGGCTACAGGATAAAATTCAAAGTTCATATTGTTGCTCTCACAGCCTTCTACTTTCTGGTCCCTACATAACATGAAACTTAGCTTTGTCTAAATTGGATTACATATGTGGTTGGGATAAGCACTTAGGGCGTAAAAAAAAATCTAACCATTTTTAAAATGTTATTTTTATTGATTTCAGGAAGGAAGGGAGAAGGAGGGAGGGAGGGAGGGAGGAAGGGAAGCAGAGAGAGAGAGAAAGAGAGAGAGAGAGAGGGAGAGAGAGAGAGAGAGAGAGAGAGGAAGAACCATCAATGATGAGAGAGAATCATTGATGGGCTGCCTCCTGGATGCCTCACACTGGGGATTGAGCCCGAAGCCCAGGCATGTGCCCTGACCAGGAATTGAACCATGACCTCTTGGTTCATAGGTTGATGCTCAACCACTGAGCCATGCCAGCCAGGCCTAACCTATTCTTTACACTAAATGTAATAGTGAATCAAAATTTTAGGTTTTAAATAGTAAGTTATAAGAGTTTTAGAAAATGTCATAATTTATTTATAATCTTTGAAGAGAGGAGGGAATCCTGTAGAAGCCAAGCACAAAATCCAGAATTTCTAAAAGAAAACATTGATTAAATTTTACCTCAGAATATTTGAAAACTTATGTGTGAAGAAAAAATACCATTAACAAAGTCTAAAGACAAATTATAGTGGGAAAAAATTTTTAACACATATCACAGACAAGGATTTAATTTCTTAATTTACAAAGAGTTCATATAAATTAATAATTTATTTAAATTGACAACAGATGTGTTTTTAAAAAATGCTCAATCTCACTAAATAATAAAAAAATTGAAAGTATGAAGTATTGTCCTCTCTATAGAAAGACAAACATTTTAAAGGTGATGACACTCATTGCTGCTAAGGCAGTAAAGAAAAAGGCATGAACCTGGATTGTTGAAACAATTATAAATCAATACAAACTACAGGAAGTTAATTGGGTAATATCTATTAAAATAGAAGATGCATGTACCCTTTGGTACAGCAATTCTACTGCTAGGAAGTTATGCTACCAATGAACTTACAAAGATTTACTAAGAATCAGAACACACACACACACACACACACAGCTGTCAGTTGCAACACTGGTGATATTAGGGGAAAAAAAAAAGAGGGGGTGAAGGGGACAGGAAGTGATTAACCAAAGAACTATATGCATATATGTATAATCCATGGGGCCTGAGGTGGGGCAGAAGCTGGGTAGAGGGGTCAAAGGTGGGTAAAATGGAAGACAACTGTAATACTGTCAACAATAACTTTTTTTTATCTTTTTATTTTTTATTTTTTAAAAATATTTTATTGATTTTTTACAGAGGAAGGGAGAGAGATCGAGAGTTAGAAACATCAATGAGAGAGAAACATTGATCAGCTGCCTCCTGCACACCACCTACTGAGGATGTGCCCACAACCAAGGTACATGCCCTTGACCGGAATCAAACCTGGGACCTTTCAGTCCGCAGGGCAATGCTCTATCAACTGAGCCAAACTGGTTAGGGCAATAATTTTTTTTTTTAGAGAAAAGAAAGGAAAAACTAGAAACAGCCAAAGTGTTAATCAAAAAACGATTAGTTTTGGCATACTTATATGATTGAATACTATTTATAATGCTTCTTGTAAAATAATATTCCTGACATCTCAAGTATTCATGGTGTAGTGTTAATTAGAAAATGAGAAAAATCAACTTAAAAAATATTCGTAGTGTGATTCTACTTTTTTATAAAAAATAGATATGCACAGTATTTCTACATTGAAAGAAAAAGTCAGAATCTATAGCATATATGCTTTCCTGTCAATTACACATTTTCTAAGTGCATATACATCATTTTTATAAACAAAAAAAATACTTCACAAGTTTTAAACTTTGTAGAAAAGAGAAAGGCAATTAAATAATCTGTTCCCTTAAATTCTGTATACTGAGTAATAAACACTAACTAGAGTCCATGTCATAGAGGTTTGATAAAAATTAATGATTAACTGAGAAAACTCATTGAAAGTACTACAGCTAAAATAATGTAAACGCTCTGTTTAGGATTATGCTATGGGAACAAAACATGTTCTTATTCATTCTAACCTACTCAACTGGCTCTATTTGCATTGCCTCATTCATCAAATGCTGTCACTCGATATTGCTTAATCCAAGTGTGTGTATATAAGCAGAGTTAGAATATAACTGCCTCAACTACTACCAAATGACGACAGGAAACCTCATCATTGGAAACCAGCACTTCATTGTTTATAACTTAGGTGAGTATCATAACCAGTGTGCAAAAATATTTGCCTTAAGTTATTGGAAAAGCAGCACAAAAAATTAATGTTTATATTGTGATATAGTCTGAAATATTTTTATTTAAAAGTAGGAGAGTAAAGAGTAAACTTTAAGTCTGAAAAAATAGTGAAAGGAGTTATGGTATTTTTTTTTTTAGTAAGAGATTTGTAGGTTGTTTAAAGAGAATGCTTTGTTTTTTAGGATAGGATTTTCTGATTCTTGGTAAATCTTTGTAAGTTCATTGGTAGCATAAATTCCTAGCAGTAGAATTGCAGTAGAATATTTCCTGACTATGCTTTTGACTTATCATGTGATTCTTAAAAAACAGCCAGCTTTCTCTGTGTCAGTGACTCCATCATAAATGTGGTATTTCAGTTTCTAATCTACCTTGCTTAACTCTGCAAGCTAAGGGTTTAGAGCAGAGTTCCTCCAAGTGTGCTCTCTCAAACTAGTCCATAGGGGTATTAACAGAGGGAGTGATTATTTACAAAATTAAATAATTACTGAAAATAATTAAACAAAGATACCCATGATTCTTCAGTGAAGGACTGGCATCACCTTTACTATGCTAATGTAAGTTCTGACTTCCCAAGAAATGGAATATAGATTGAACATTTCCTAGATTTATTTGAAAATGTAACATTTTATGTTTGTTTGCTTTTTAATGTGTATCCAGGGGAATTTTTTTTCTAGGGCATAATCATCCATGGATAAGAGAAAACAATAAAAAACCCAGCAATGCAATTTTCATGTTATCAGTAAAGTAGTATACCTGAATGCCTACTATGTGCAGATTACTGTTTGACTTATTTTCTGTACAATTTTCTGTACAATTTAAAGTTTAACTACAATAAGGTTACTGACCTGCACTATCCCATGTTATGATTAACAATTAACTACCATATTAAAAAATGTATTATTTCAAAGAAGTTGGAAAACCAGCATTTGAAGTTAAATTCCCAGTTCTGATTCTTTTATTCCTACATTTGGATGGGGAAGAAAAGGAGACAGGGTAGGGAAGCTCTGGAATAACAGATTCTGGTCCTAGTTCAGCTTATGTGATCCTGAGCAAGGCACTTAATTTTTCAGTTTTACTTGGCCCACTCATCTATAAAGTTAGGAGCTCAGTAAAAGAATGTCCAAGACTCTTTACTTCTAAGTGTTCTTGACAGTAAAGGTGAGAAAATCAGAGAAAGAAGATAAGGATTTATGTGAGGCCCTCAAGCTCTGTGAATAATATTCATTCTCAGAGGCAGAAGAGGGAGTCCTCAACTGCCCTATCATTGAAGGATTTTGCTCATTAAACTGTCTGAACATAGTATGGCTGCATGGAAGATTCTACTTCCATCTAGACAAGAAAATTTTAGCCTATTTGGGGTTGGCCAGGGACAAAATTAAAGGGGCATGAAATTTATCTTCCAATGAGTCCTTTGAACCAGGAACTCAATGCTGCTTCCTTACCCTGCTAGAAAAGCTGAGCAATATGAAGAGATTTCAATGGTAGCCAATCCAATAATTTGGATTTTATTTTGTTTAACCTAGAAAATAAAAGGCAATGCTTAATAAAGGAAGCAATAACTATTGTAGAATTCAGCAATGTCAGAGAGATTTTTTTTAAAGTTTTATTGCTTAAAGTATTACAAAGGGTATTACATATGTGTCCTTTTTTTCCCTCCGCCCTTGACAATCCCTCGTCCTCCCCTACCCCCCAGTGTCTTATGTCCATTGGTTATGTTTATATGCATGCATACAAGTCCTTCGGTTGATCTCTTACCCCACTCCCTCCTGCCCCCCAACCCTTTCCGGCCTTCCCGCTGCAGTTTGACAATCTGTTTGAGGCAGCTCTGCCTCTGTATCTATTATTGTTCCTAAGTTTATAATGGTCTTTATTATCCATGAATGAGTGAGGTCATGTGATATTTTTCCTTCATTGACTGGCTTATTTCACTTAGCATAATGCTCTCCAGGTCCATCCATGCTGTTGCAAATGGTAAGAGTTCCTTCCTAGATAGCATAGTTTATTCCTAGGTAGCATAGTATTCCATCGTGTAGATGTACCACAGTTTTCTATTCCATTCATCTACTGATGGGCACTTAGGCTGTTTCCAGATCTTAGCTATGGTGAATTGTGCTGCAATGAACATATGGGTGCATATATCCTTTCTGATTGGTGTTTCTGGTTTCTTGGGATATATTCCTAGAAGAGGGATCACAGGGTCAAATGGGAGTTCCATTTTTAGTTTTTTGAGGAAACTCCATACTGTCTTCCATAGTGGCTGCACCAGTCTGCATTCCCACCAGCAGTGCACGAGTGTTCCTTTTTCTCCACATCCTCTCCAGCACTTGTCGTTTGTTGATGTGTTGATGATAGCCAGTCTGACAGGTGTGAGATGGTACCTCATTGTTGTTTTGATTTGCATCTCTCAGATGATTAGTGACTTGGAGCATGTATTCATATGTCTCTTGGCTTTCTGAATGTCCTCTTTTGAAAGGTGTCTATTTAGGTCCTTTGCCCATTTTTTGATTGGATTGTTTATCTTCCTTTTGTTAAGTTGTATGAGTTCCCTATAAATTTTGGAGATTAGGCCCTTATCAGATATTACATTGGCAAATATGTTTTCCCACGCAGTGGGTTTTCTTGTTGTTTTGTTGATGGTTTCTTTTGCTGTGCAGAAGCTTTTTATTTTGATGTAGTCCCATTTGTTCATTTTCTCTTTAGTTTCAAGTGCCCTAGGAGCTGTATCAGTGAAGAAATTGCTTCGGCATATGTCTGAGATTTTATTGCCTTTGGGTTCTTCTAGAATTTTTATGGTTTCCCATCGTACATTTAAGTCCTTTATTCATTTTGAGTTTATTTTTGTGTATGGTGTAAGTTGGTGGTCTAGTTTCATTTTCTTGCATATATCTGTCCAATTTTCCCAACACCATTTATTGAAGAGACTATCTTGACTCCATTGTATGTTCTTGCCTCCTTTGTCAAATATTAATTGAGCATATTGGTTCGGGCCGATTTCTGGGCTCTCTATTCTATTCCATTGATCTATATGTCTGTTCTTGTGCCAGTACCAGGCAGTTTTGAGAACAGTGGCTTTGTAATACAGTTTGATATCTGGTATTGAGATCCCACCTACTTTGTTCTTTCTCAGGATCGCTGCAGCTATTCGGGGTCTTTTTTTATTCCAGATGAATTTTTGGAGAGTTCGTTCTAGATCTGTGAAGTATGCCGTTGGTATTTTAATGGGAAGTGCGTTGAATTTATAGATTGCTTTGGGTAGTATGGACATTTTAATGATGTTGATTCTACCGATCCATGAACACGGTATGTTCTTCCATCTGTTTATGTCTTCCTCTATCTCTTTTTTCAACGTCCTGTAGTTTTCTGAGTAGAGGTCTTTTACCTCTTTAGTTAAGTTTATTCCTAGGTAGCTTAATTTTTTTGGTGCGATGGTAAATGGGATTGTTTTTTAGGTTCTCTTTCCGAAAGTTCACTATTGGTGTATAGAAATGCCTCAGATTTCTTGGGGTTAATTTTCTAAGCAATGTCAGAGAGATTTTAAGACTAGAGAAGAAGTACCATTTTCCCCACGAACCACAGTATCACTGCCTGACCTTGATGATGAAGCCAGATTGCAGAACCCTACTGAAAGAATATGGAGCGTTCTGCAATTTATGACAGAGAACTCCAGGGTCTTTCAGTAGAGTACTGCAGTCCAGCGATGATCAAGTATTAATTGGGGACTGGAGGATGGTGATTTTTCTAATTTTATCATTCTTCTGTAATAAATAAATTCCTCATTCATTCTTTCTTGATAAATGCTATGGACTTGTGAGTTTGGGGTTTTTTTTCATCAAATGCATTATAGTCAATTACCATCATTATTCCTTTTGATGTCAAATTGTCCCAAATTTGGCCAGCAGAAGAACCTTCATGTATCCTTTTGATACAGCCTCACTGGTTTTTGAATGACACTGCTTTCTGGCACAACAACATATTCCATGTCCACTTCTACTTTCCCAGCCCACATCTAGAGTTCCAGTTCCCTTTAATGAAAAAAGTACTTGGAAACTAAGATATAGGTATACCAATATTACTGACTCAAATTTAACATCATAGGAATTTCTTCTTGGATTCTTTTATTTTATATCTGTCCTTTCTCCTACAGTGAAAATCCTAAGACAAACATCTACTTAGTTGCTGTATTGTATAGTATAGCAAATGGTCTCAGAATTCCAATACCAATGTTACCATCAACAACAAAACCATTAAGTGAAGTTTAAGATTTCTTTGTAGCTCTTTTTGTCCTATATTCCAGCATAGACACATATTCAGAATACTATGTTCAAATTTTACTAAAATAATTATTTTCTCTTGGTTGTATATTGACTTAACCACAATTGTTTCTGTTTGTTTTCAGGTTGAGACAATTGAACTAATACTATATTTAATCCAACAGACGCCTGAAAAATAAGGCCTGAAATGAAGTATTCAACCACCAAAATTCCCCCAGCAAATATGAACAACTCAGCAGGAAAAGCCTCGGCAAAATCTCCCAGGTTGAGAAGTAAGGACTTAAGCACTTCTGATTACTTTACACACTATTTTTGTCTGTTATCAAATCTTTATTATCCAATGTTCATACATACTATCATACAAAAGTTACTTAGAATACAAGAGCTGAAATTGAATGGGATGTCTCATAAGTGTGCAGTACAGCAGCATTTGGTTTTAAACAGACTATAGCCAACTTTTACTTATTTGATGCATCACAGGACAAAAATGGCTCAGATAATTTAAACCTGCTAATAGTGATAAACATATTTATAGCCCTTCATATCAATCCCTTCTTTCCACCCACACCCCCTACCACCAAGTCCCAAAAACTTTTCCCCAATTAACAAAATATAAACTGATCCACTTTCATTCAGCAAACATTTATTAAGTCCTTTGGTGTATCAAGCTTGTGGTCTTAACTTGCAACTTTTGATAAAAGAGAGAATACAAGTGAAGATATTTGAATAATCCAGGCCCCCCAGAAAGCAGATTTGACCAAATGATGTTCAAGTCTATCCAGTTACAAACTCAAAGGGTTTGTAATAAATTGAAGGGTAAAAAGAACCAAGTAGAAGCCATAGCTTTAGAATAAAAGGGCTATATACTTCTTTGATCCTTATATTACCTATCCTAGGCAATAATTATACAAATTTATACTTATGTTCTTCATAAGGAGCAGTTATACAAAGAAGTTAAGAGAGCCCTGGTGTGCTAGAGCAAAAACAGAGGATGGGGAATGATGATGGAGACTGCATATCCTTGTTCTTTGGGCTCCTCTCCATTTCCCTGAACATCTTTAAGGCTAGAAGAGAAAGCAGTGTTAAAGTACATCATTTCTGTCCTCCCTAAGGCTCTGGCTCACCCACAGTGCTCTTTGGTAGTCAGGGAAAACACTAATTTGACTGTGATTTCTAAATGGCCAGGAAATCATAGTTGTTAGTTTTTTTTTTTTATCTGAGTCTGAGTCAAACTGCTCTATGTAGAAACAGTGACTCAGTGGAAGTGACTCTGCATCCCAAATTCCCTCTTAATAAAGAATGTATTGTCTTTGTACTTCAGGAGATTTGGACTCTTTAAGATACTAGAATAAGGGAGCAGGCTGGAGTTTACAGCAGAGTTAATGGCATTGATGCAAAAATTAAAATGTAACTTCCCCTTTAAGGTTGCAGTGGCTTATTTACACCATTTAAAAAAAAACAGTAATAAAGATATCCCCCAAATCACTTATATTAATATTACATTACAGTGGGGCCTTGACTTACGAGTTTAATTTGTTCCGTGACTGAGTTCGTAACTCAAATTACTCGTATGTCAAATCACTGTGACGTTTGCTGCGCCAACTAGCGGTGGGGTATCTGAAGCTGGCTCGTAACCCGAATTTTAGCTCACAACTCAACTCAAAGCAAAAAATCGGCCAAGAGATGGCTCATATCTCGAAAAACTCGTTAGTCGGGACACTCATAAGTCAAGGCCCCACTGTATTTTAATTGTCCCTTAGCAGATCTTCCTTTCCAATAATATTGGCTCAGTTTAACACTAAAATTGTCATTATTTACTAGTAAACACTCCTGGCCCCAAACCTGACAGCTGTGAGGTGTGTGACAGGTATGAACCACTTCTCAAAACCCAGGGTGCAAAAATGTCACATTTTTCCAAAGAAAATGCTCTGAGCCCTCAAGCAAAAAAAACAAAACAAAAAAGTTCATTTTAATTACTTTTCCTTCCTTGGGCTAACATTATCTGACACAATCCACAGGTCACAACACCACAAAACTCAATATCCAACCACTACAGGTATCCACACAGTCAGGTCCCCTATGAGTTCTGGTCACCACCATGCCATTTCATTTTAGTGCCAAGGAGGTACAGGAGCACTTCATGAGCTGGAGGGTAGCCCCTCCTAAAAATCATCCCATTCCAAGTTTCCAGGAGGCTACTCCCCAGGGTTAGTCCATTCTCCTCTGCTACTTCCTCTTCTCCATCAGTTCCTTCCCTTCCCTGACAATCCAGCTTTTGTATGCATACAGCCAGAGGTCACAATATAGGGAGCCTTGAGAGATTCATCCAGCAGAAGTATTTTATTTGGCCTGAACACTATTATTGAAGTATTTTATTTGGCCTGAACACTATTATTGATGGTGTTTCTCAATTGAGGCAACATTTAAAGATTAGGAGATTTTGCATAAAAATCTGAATGTGTGGTTTTGTCAAAAAATCTGAAGATCTAGTAACACTGGCTCATATTCCTACATGATAGAGCTGGGTAGAGATCCCACACTTTAGTTTGTGTCTTCCCATGGAAAATCTTCTGTTACAGTGAAGGAGTTTGTGGACAGTAGAGAATCATTGGAAATGTTTAATCGGTGGGAATTACAACATATTTTTATTTTACAAAAGTCACACTGGTGGTGGTGTGAAGAGAGATTGAGGGGACAAGTGTAGAAACTAAGACTTCTCAGAAATCTACTACATTCGTATAGGGCTGTGGTCATCAAACTGCAGCTCACGAGCCACATACGGATCTTTGGCCCCTTGAGTGTGGCTCTTCCTAAGCCGTAGGAGTACCCTAATTAAGTTAATAACAATGTACCTACCTATATAGTTTAAGTTTAAAAAAAATTGGCTCTCAAAAGAAATTTAAATCATTGTACTGTTGATATTTGGCTCTGTTGACTAATGAGTTTACCAACCACTGAGCTAGGGGACTAATAATGAGGGCCTGACCTAAGACAGCAGAAAGGAAAGGAAAGACTAAATTTCACACACTGTCAGAAGGTGAAATCATGAAGATTTAGTGACATATAAAATAAATTGAAAGATAAAGAAGGAAAAATGGATGTTTCTCAACTTTCTGATTTAAGAATTGGGCAGACCATGGTATAATAGTGGTACTGTTTTTCAAGATAGAGAATTCAGGAAGAATATATTGGGGGTAGGGAAGGGTAAAAAAAATTATTATTGTGAGTATAATTTGAATTTGAAGGAGGTAGAGGTGTCCAGAGTTAATGAGGCTTTACATAGATAGAAATAGAGATGCTTTATGGTAGCTGAAGTCAAAATGCCCTGTGGAGAAAGAGCAATAGATATAAAACTCAGGAGAGAGAATAAAGATAGAGTTACAGTTTAAGGAGTCATCTTACCTAATAATAGATGAACATGTAAATTAACCATCCCTCCGCTATGCTCACCAGCCAATCAGGGCAGTATGCAAATTAACCCAACAAAGATGGCGGTTAATTTGCATATGTAGGGGCCAAGCAGCGGAGCGAAGACTGAAGGATCCGTCCAGAGCAGCATGACTGAAGGCTCCATCCGGAGCGAAGGCCTGGGTCCCGTGTGCCGGAGGAAAACCGGTGCCGGCAGCCAGGGGAAGGGAAGGCCTATTGCACGAATCTCTTCGTGCAACGGGCCTCTAGTCAGTATATAAAAAAATGATTGAAGTCATTGGAGTAAGCAATATTACTCAGAAATAAAGTCTAGAATAAAGAGCAAAAGGCAAAGGGCAAAATCTTGAGGAACACCAACATTTAGGAGCAGGTAAAGAAGAAAGAACTAACAGAAAGGCCAAGATGGACTGATCACAGAGAAACAAGAAGAATCTAAGGAAACTGGTGACCTGACAATAAGGAAAGAAGGGATCAAAGAAGGATGTGGTCCCTAAAGTCAAATGCCACAGACAGGTAAAAGGTAGTAAGCAGTGAGAAAACACCATGGTGAAAAAGTGTTTGGGGAAGAAATGAAAGATGAAGTGATTTGCTGCTGTAGTTCCTGTCAGTCATAGTCTGGGTCTCCAAGTGGCAAAATTACAGGCAGATTTCCAGGCCCCTCCCCATTTACTCACCAGAAATGCCTGAGAATTTCAACATGCTGATGCTATGGCGAAATTAGTTATTTTCTTAAAAGCTATAGTAAGACACTGCCCTCAGACAGCAAACATGATGGAGATTGAGAAAGTGGCAACAGCCCTTACATGAGCTTGACCTGGGCCTCTGACCCCAGTGGAGCACTCTCTCCTACACTGCTCCCATGGCCATGTCAGCTTTGTGTTTCCTCCTGAGAACACAACCCTCACACCACATTTTCAGCTGCCCTGAACACCAAAGTATACCTTCTTTCAAATACTCCCCATATAAAGCATCTTTAATATTTCAACTATAATCACCCCCAATGAATTACAGCCAGTGTCTGTCCCACTAGATCAGTAGTTCTCAACCTTCCTAATGCCACGACCCTTTAATACAGTTCCTCATGTTGTGGTGACCACCAACCATAAAATTATTTTCATTGCTACTTCATAACATAAATATGACATAAAAGTAATTTTGCTACTGTTATGAATTGTAATGTAAATATCTGATATGCAGGATGTATTTTCATTGTTACAAATTGAACATAATCAAAGCATAGTGATTAATCACAAAAACAATATGTAATTATATATTCAATATGTGTTTTCCGATGGTCTTAGGCAACCCCTGTGAAAGGGTCGTTCGACCTCCAAAGCGGTTGCAACCCACAGGTTGAGATCCGCTGCACTAGCCTGTACATCCATATCTTTAGTCTGTCTCTTCTTGATCATCCACAATACTTTAATATCTTGACCCTCACTTCACACTACCCAAGACCCATATCCCATTCCCCACAGAGTCCACTCTGAATATAAGACATGCCTGTCATGTCACTATGAGATACTGATAAGCATATAAGGAATGAGAATGCTTACTGTATCATCTTATACCTTTTAGCTCTGAAGAGGAAATTGATACAGTAAGTAAATATTGTATTAAATTAATTATCAAGAGACCAAGTTCAATGCTGGCTCTGGCACAGCTTTGTAAATTATCTTTGTAACTCTAAAAACATTATATTAATGTGCAATACCATAGTTGATATTTCTGAATTTGAAGCAATGTTAAGGAATTCCAGGGTGGGTGTGAGTATAATTAAGTAATCTTGCCCTGTTCAGACAGTTGAAGATTCTTTTTTTTTTCTTTTTTTTTTTTCTTTTTTTCTTTTTTATTATTAGTTAAGGAAGTTGAAGATTCTTAAAGGTAGATGCCCATCTAAATTGGAGGCAAAATATAGATAATTCAAAATGGTAGCTAACAAATGTTTATTCTACTTGACTTTTAAAAGTATACTAGTAAGGCAAATCTTAGAGAATAAAATAAAGATCATAGAATGAATCCCAAAGTCACAAGTAATTATTTTCATTTTCTGAAATTGCTTGATAACTCATTTACTTACTATAATGTTGAAAGTTGAGTTCCTTTGACTCAGGTGTTACAACTTTCTTTTCTACTTAACTCTGAAAGTCTTTTTATGATTTCCAAGTAGCAAATTATTTTTACTTTAGACTTTAATTTTTCTTTGGCTAATTAAATTAAATTCTAATGAAATTAGAATTACTGGATAATTAATATTTTTTAATTCAAATGATTTAAGTTTATATTTTATTAGTCCCTAAAATTGCACTGTAATATTTTCTTAGAGGTAAATGAAAAAAATATCTTTTAAAAAAAGATATGTTTTATTGACTTCAGGGAGGAAAGAAGAGAGAGAAAGAGATAAAAACATTAGTGATGAGAATCATTGATCGGCTGCCTCCTGTATGCCCCCTATTGGGGATCAAGCCTGCAACCTGGGCATGTGCCCTGACCAGGAATTGAACCGTGACCTCTTGATTCATAAGTCGATGCTCAACCACTGAGCTACCAGCTGGGCGTAAAGAGTATCTTTAATATTAGATACACTTGAGTCACAACTTCTCACCAGACCTGTAACTTTGGGTGTCATGACTTCTAGATCATCATCTGTAGAATGAGAAGAATAATACCTGCCTTGCTTGCTATATTATTATGAAGGATTAAATGACATAGTATGTAAAATTATTAGTACAGTGGTTGGTTCACTGCAGACACTTAGTAAATGACAGCTATTTTTAAAATCAATAACCTTTACAGACTACAGGCATGCCTCCAAAATTATTAAAAGTATATTCTAGACAAGTAGAAAAGATTACAGACTTCATATGACCATAAGAGTCTCTCCTCAGTGAGGCAAAGATTGATATATGTTGGATGTAGGTCCACATTTCATTATATGGAATTCTGAAAAAGAAAATTTTTTCTAAAGACCTGAAGTTTTTTTATAACTCATTTGACAGGAAAATATGACCTAAATTCACTTAACCGTTAAAGCCAGAGCTGAATCACTATGAGGTCTTTATTCCACCTTATATATACAATTTTCTATATTTCACTACAATATTATTAATTTTTGAATTTGGGTTACTGCCCTAGTCCCTGCTGGGAGTGCTAAATATATACCATATATGTTCTACATGACAATTCTAAAATCTAAAAAACTTTGAATCTTGAAACAGAACTTGCCCAAAAGTTTCTGAAAAAATACCATGGATCTGCAGTTTCTTTCTTGGTCTGCTACACTCAGCATTTGTAAAAGGATGAAAATGGATGAATGCCCAGCCGATGTAGCTCAGTGGTTGAGTGTCGACCAATGAACCAGGAGGTCACACTTCGATTTCTAGTCAGGGTACATGCCCGGATTGTGGGCTTGATCCCCAGTGTGGGGCATGTAGAAGGCATTTAATCAATGATTCTCTCTCATCATTGATGTTCTTCTCTCTCTCTCCCCCTCTCCCTCTCCCTTCCTCTCTAAAATCAATAAAAATATATTTTAGAAAAAAAAAGAAAATGGATGGAATGAAACAGTATCACATTTTTTTCATTTGTTTAGAATCCCAACAGAAGGGCAAAGAAATTTGCCAGGTGTACTTTATGCAGCTACGCTCTGGCCTTATCATAGAAAAAAAGAGCTGTTACTTTAGGAAAGAAACCACTGAAAGGCATTCACCAAACTCAGGTAAGGGAAAAACTACAATTACTGGTAATTCTTTAATATAGTGATGAGCATTTATTTGCCTTCAATTTCTACATCTAGGTATATAATTTTTACCCCTCACTCAAATTTCCCTTCTGGGAAAGAGTAAAGATAATAAACTCTTTTAAAGCCATTTTTTAAAAGGTTTATAAAGAGTTTTTAATGTAATGGGAGAAATGGTTATGTTATAATGGTAAGTGAAAATAGAGGATATAAAATTATATATATAGGTATACCTCGAGAATATGCATATTTAGTTCCAGACCACCACAATCAAGTGAGTTGTAATCTTTCACTGGTAGAGGGACTTCCCTTCAATTTGTAAGAAATGCAACATCTGTAAAACACAATAAAGCAAAGTGCAATAAAGTGGGGTATGCCTATATATTAACAATATCTCTTAGGTGATTTTTTTTTATTTAAAGGAAGTACTACTATAAACTAAAATGTTCATAGTGGTTGCCTTTTGAGACATGGGTAACTAGTTTTTTTTCCACCTGGACTCCAATGGGTGTGCCCTTCTGGAGTGTAAGTGCCAGGAGATACTGAGCCCTTCCAACCATGGGGTGGCCAAAGTCCTGGGGTCAGTCACCATTGTCAGCAAGCAGCCTTGACTGTGACTCTTCAAGTGGGGGTAGAGGGAGTGGGGAGGGGATCTGGGCAGTGAGCACTGATAGTCCACTTCTAACCCCACCTGTCTTGCAGCTGAAGATTACAAAGAGCCAAATCTGCTATTCGCTACCTGTCGGAATCGCCTGCAACACTTTGAACGATCAGCGGGGGCCTCTGCCTTTAATAAATCTATGGTCCAGGAAAATACTAGAAGAATTGATGATTCAAGAATCCTAGGTGTGACTGGTTACAGGGGTGGTGTAGGTAAGAGGAGGGTGGTAAGAAACAGGACTCTGGCAAGTGCTGCTCTAGGAAGCAGGCCCAAGTCTATGCCTTCAAGTATATTAGAAACTTTTGTCCATTTTCTGCTGATGTGCCCATTAGGTGGTATCTAAAACAGGTGCAGGAAAACTGCTCTAACAATGCATGCACATTCTATAGTTAGCACTCCATTATTATTTTGAAGTGTTTGCTATGGATTGGAATCCCATATACATTATTCCTGGGGGGAAATAAATTATCCTTGGTGAGCGGAAAAAAACCAATACATTATTCCCCCAAATTTCAAAATTTTGTCAATAAAAAAGGAGGGGCTATTAAGTATTTTAAGTATAATTTTGACTAAATATTTTAAATAATTTGTTAAAATGGTTTTAAGTTGCATCACCAACTGTGCCAAATGAAGTCCAAGTTGATGGTGACTATCAAGAAGTGAAGAGATCATTGAGAAACTTGACTGGGAATTGCAGTTGCCAGTTCAAGTATTATTCCTGACATAAATGTCTTAAATTCCCAGAAAAATACTGAAATTTCTCACTAAATATTTTTAAATCATTTTACTTTAGAAGTTTACATACAAATTCAACATTAAACATACTCATTAATATTTTGTATACTTTCTTAGCATAATCCTATAATGTAAAGAAAATATAATATTTTTTTCTCCAGGGCCCATATAGATAGTTCCTAAATCTACTTCAGTTTACACCATTGAAATATCCTTTTCCATGTGTTGGAACATTTTAAAAACTTGGGAATACTGCTCTCAGTGTCTCTGTCATTTAGCCAGAGGTCAGAAGGGGCTCACAACTGTATCCTCCAGGACTATTGGAAGTCTCAGAATAACTCCACACCTTACAGATGGGTATTTATTTATCCATGTCTATTTAAATTCTGTCCCTTCTTGCCTACAATTCCCTAGTCCATGGGGAGCCAGGAAGCAGAGGTTTCCTCAGGCAATGTCTGTCACTTTTCCAGCTTCTTTCTCCCCACCAAAACCTCCCATAACATACTAGCATGGCCTCCCATGGCCTTCACGCAATAAATTAGCACCTTTAATCCCATTCAGGTGATAGAGTTCAGCTTTGAGCTATGTTAAACTTGCACCAAAGGTTTTCATCCATCCAACAGCAATGGACAAAGTACAGCTCAAATAATAATAATAATAACAATAAGCCTTTGGGGAGGCATTTTTTAAAAATGCTAAACGATTGTTTATGAGAACAAGTTTTTGCATTCTTAATGACAAGATTTTCTCTTGTTATAGAATATCGTTCTGTTTCCCTGAGCACATACGACAATCAAACCATTACTTTTGTTGTTGGTGATGAAGGTTATGACATCAATGTTGACGATTTGGGGACAGAAGATGAGAAAGGTAGAATATTTCCTTTTGTCTATAATGATATAATGATTACTAATAAGTAAAAAATAAATTTACCAAACCATTAACAATGGATTAACTCAGATATGACAAACAGATCTTACGTTGTGTGCAAACTGTGATGCGTTGGCAATAGATGCTTGAAAATCACTGTGCTGAGGAGGATTAAAAAGCTTAGTAAGCATTCATCAGGAGGAAAGAACGCTGATATTGAGAAGTGGTATATGTTGTGAAAGATGGAAGGAGGACCATATATATTTCATATTGCTAAATTACTTACTAGATATTTCTAATCTTATCAATGTCACCAAAGTAAATCCTCAAATGAGAGTATACCTGCCTTAGCTGGGTGGCTCAGCTGTTTAGAGCATCGTTCTGTACACCAAAAGGTTGTGGACGTGGGAGAAGGGGGAAAGAAGGGTGGAGGGGGAGGGTTTCCTGATTAAGATACATACCTAGGTTGCAGATTCTATCTCAGTTGGGGTGAGTATGGAAGGCAACTGATTGATAGTTCTCTCTCACATCAATGTTTCTTCTCTCTCTCTCTCTCTCTCTCTCTCTCTCTCTCTCTCTCTCTCATCAATAAACATATCCTTGGGTGAGGATTTTTAAGAAAAGAATATACAAATGCTATGAAAAATATTTTAAGTATTTTATGGGGAATTCATCAGAGTATACCATCATTTTGAGACTTTTCTCAAAACCACAAAAGTTTTGCTTTTGTAGATATACAATAAAAAAGGAGGATATTTTCTGATATTATGTATATTTTGGAACTGAACCTATTGATAAATCATCAAAAGAGTTTTATGCATTCTTTTTCAGACAAAGTGTTATTCCATTTCTATGACTCACAGCCACCTGCAAGTGAAACAGGTAATTTGGATAGCTGTAATGTTTGAATTCTTAAATTTGACTAAAAATAAATCCAAACATGCTCCACGTAGAAAGGCAGGCTGTCTCTGAAGGTTCTCTCCAGCCCAAGCTCATAGTGAAATCTTAGATTCTTAGAGGATTTACTCCATTCCAACCATTTTTCAGTTTAATAGGATAAATGTTTGGCTACATTTAACGGAGACCCAGAATAATGGGTGCTAAGCTACACAAAACTTTATTTCTGTCTTAGCCAGGGCTGGAATGGGAACTCTATTGAATAGGTTGTCCAGGAACCTAGTTCCTTCTCTCTTTGTGGCTCTGCTAACACCTACATCGGAGTGGGGAACCTTTTTCTGCCCAGGGCCATTTGGGTATTTAAAACATCATTCGAGGGCCATACAAAATTATCAACCTAAATATTACTCTGCTATGTTTGGTCAAACATTTAATTAACTCACCCCTAATGCCTTGGCAGGGCCAGACCAAATGATTTCTCGGGCCTTATACTGCCTGTGGACTGGACGTTCCCCAACCCTGATCTACATGTTTTAAGGTTACTTTAGCCCTGGCCAGTTTTGCTTAGCGGTTACAATGTCAGCCTGCAGACTAAAGGGTTTGGGCTCAATTCATGTCAAGGGCACATACCTTGATTGCAAGCTCAATCCCGCCCTAGTCAGGGAGTGTGCAGGAAACAACCAATCGATGTGTCTCTCTCACATCATTGCTTCTGTCTCCTTGTCTCTCCCCCTCCCTTCCACTCTTTCTAAAAATCAATGGAAAAAATATTCTCAAGTAAGTATTAACAACAACAAAAAATTATTTGCCACCATGACAATATCCAATTAGCTGGACAGAGAAAGATGGGTATGTGAATTCTCTTTCCCTTTAAGGACATAATCTGTAAGTTGCACCTGACATTCCACTCAACTCACATTGGTCAGAACTTAGTCACATTGCTACACTTAGCTACAAAAATATGTTCTATTATAACATAAGAAGAGGAGTTGAATGTTGGGGGACAACTATGTGTGACTTTACATGCAGACAGATAAACACTCGGAGAAATACTCATTAGAGTTCCAATTCTACAACTAGAAAGCATGTAAGAAAACTAACCTCTCTTCTTCAAGGGGCTTGGAATTATCCCCTACTTATACAATGACTCCTTAGTTCAGCCATGGGCAAACGACGGCCGGCGGGCCGAATCCGGCCCGTTTGAAATGAATAAAACTAAAAAAAAAAGACCGTACCCTTTATGTAATGATGTTTACTTTGAATTTATATTAGTTCACACAAACACTCCATCCATGCTTTTGTTCCGGCCCTCCGGTCCAGTTTAAGAATCCACTGTGGCCCTCGAGTCAAAAAGTTTGCCCACCCCTGCCTTAGTTTCATCTAGGTACAAATTTCTAAGAGACATGTTGCTGAATGAAGCAGTTATTTTACATGACATTATAAACTTGTTTCCTGGGTGTTAAATTCGTTTAAATTAAAATGAGTTACAATCTTTAACTTTATAATTTACATTTTTTAATTGCAAGGTGATGATGTTGATGGTCACAAAGTAATGGTAAGGATGAGTCCTGCAAATAACAAAGACTTTTTGCTGCATGCCGAGGAGCACTCTGTGAAGGTAACAGAAATATGCATTTAACTGTCATGATTAATATCACTAGTTTGTATGGATTTGGATGTTTGGATATTTTGAAGAAGGATTTTTGTTTGTGCTATTGTACATAAAACACAATGAGTTACCACCAATATCTTGCTCTTGGAGCTACTTAAAGTCTGGTCTCTGCCAGCAGTACAGCAACACCTGGGAGCATGTTAGAAATGTGAAATTTCATTGTCAAGGAGAAAGACAGAGGCTGTAGTAGGAAAAACATCACTTTCATACTCAAAACAGAAATACTTTGCATGCCACATATGGTCGACTGCCGTTTAGCATCCATGTTTGACACCTCCTAGAGTCTATAGGATCTGGAAAAGGAACACTATATTTCTCAGATGCTCTTGTACGTAGGATTTTTGTTGTATATAAAGAACTGGTATATGTATGCATTCACAGAGATGTAAAATGTGACAATAAAACAGAAGTTTTTTTGCAAAAAAAAGAAATGTGGAATTTCAGGCTCCCTCACAACTGAAGCAGAATCAGCATTTTAACAAATCTCCAGGAGATTCATATGCACATTAAAGTTGGAGAAGCATTACTATATAGAATGATCTCAAATCCTTCCTATTTGGCTTTAGGAAGTATTGTGTTCTTCTAGGAAGTGTTTCTTTGTAAAATATAGTTTTCTTAGGCAAATGTATAAATAACTTTATACTCTAAGCCTGCTAAAGGGAAGGTCATAAACATTTTCATATGCCAAGATTTATAGATAGCATAACAATCTACATTCTATTCATAGGATTCACTGCATAGTCTTCTTCAGTTAGTAAACGGCAGTATTATATTGGTCATGATGAAGAATTATAAACAGCCCAGCCGGCATGGCTCAGTGGTTGAGCATCGACCTATGAACCAGGAAGTCACAGTTCAATTCCTGGTCAGGGCACATACCCGGGTTGCGGGCTCAATCCCCAGTGGGGGGAGGGAGAGGCATGCAAGAGGCAGCCAATCAATGATTTTCTCTCATCATTGATGTTTCTTTCTTTTCTTTTTATTAAAATACATTTTATTGATTTTTTACAGAGAGGAAGGGAGAGGGATAGAGAGTTAGAAACATCGATCAGCTGCCTCCTGCACACCCCCCCCCCCCACCAGGGATGTGCCCGCAACCAAGGTACATGCCCTTGACTGGAATTGAACCTGGGACCCTTGAGTCCACAGGCTGACGCTCTATCCACTGAGCCAAACCGGCCAGGGCAATCTTTCTCTCTCTCTCTCTCTCTCTCTCTCTCTCTCTCTCTCTCTCCCTCTCAGAAATCAATGAAAATTATATATTTTTTAAAGAATTATAAACATACTAGAGACCTGATGCACAAAATTCATGCAAGAGTAGGCCTTCCTTCCCCTGGCTGCCAGCACCGGCTTCCCTCTGGCACCTGGGACTCAGGCTTCCCTTGCAGCCCGCCTTTGTCTGGAAGGTCGTCCGATCTAATTACCATATTATGCTTTTATTATTGTAGATTAAGTAACCAAGAAGCCAAAGGTGGAGACAAGTAAGAAAACATGAAAGTCTAATATAGAAGATAAATTATATAAATACACAAAATTATAAAGCTAACTCATACAGCCATGTAAAGTATTAACATAAACACTGATGGTAACTAACATCTCCCTTAACAAAAACATTCTTAAGTATATATAACAGTGTTTGGCATATATAAGTACTCAGTAATAAGAGCTGATCCATACTGAGCTCTATTATATACCAAGTACTATGCAAAATGTTATATAAGTACTATCTCATTTAATTCACACAGTAACTCTATAATAGTAGAGTTATTGTATTGGTCAGGTATTGCTGTGTAACAAATCGTCCTCAACACTTAGTGGCTTAAAATAATAATCATTTTTATCACTCACATGTTTGTGGGTAAATTAGGGGTCGACTGATCTAGAAAACTGGTTATATAAAAAAAAAAATTAAAAAAAAATTGAGGCCTGAGAAGTAAAGCAATGTGTCAGGTCTCAGAGATAATACATGGCAAATCAGGGATACAAATCCAGAACTGTTGCATCTAGATCTAATCATTCTAAGCCATATGTCTCTCAAAGTATACTATTAGTGAATCAAATCAAATCCTCCCACTTTGACCCTCTAGTTCCACCCCTTCCGTCCCCTACTCATTAAGCAGCTTTGCTAAAAATACCAAGTTTTAAGTAATTATTCCCCTTTTAGTTTCTAATACAAAGGTGTGGAGTTGACTCTGGACTTCCTACTCACATATTGGTTGCTTTCTCTCTTGTTTCCTCAGGTACAAAAGTACGAAAATTCGTTGCCAGACCAGACCTTATTTCTTCTTCATAAAGAGCTCGGGCCCTCAAAATGCGTTTCCTTTGAATGTAACAGCAAACCTGGAGTGTATCTAGGAGTAGAGGGTAACCATCTTGCTCTAATTGAATCAAATGACCAAACTGCACATTTAAGAAGAGAGAATATCATATTTAAGCTCTCTGAAATGTAAGATGTTGGAAAGTTGTGAATCCTGGGTTGAGTAGCCCAAAGAGCTACCATTGAAGAAATTGTCAAAAAAAAAAAAAAAGAGAGACAGATAACATTTAAGGGAAATGGAGAGTACTTAACATGCTGTGGAATATTTTACGCATTATGTTAAAATTATATATATTTTTTTAATCCTCAGTTCTGTTTTTTATTTCTCTCTGTATCACTGCATATTCAATACAAGTATTGGTATATTAAATAGGTTATTGGTAAAGCAGCCCGCCAATATTCTAAAGACATACAGACCTTTACTTTTTCTACTTTCAGTCCAGAGAGAACTTTACATTTAGAGCTGAGAACTCTGGGGAGAAACAAGCCTTAGCCCAAGTCTCATTTTAGACAGAGATCCATTTTAAAGAGCTACATACTTTCCCCTGGTTCCAAACAATGGGCTCAAACACAAGAGCTGCTAGTAAAAACCAGATGCTGCATAGAGTGACTATTTCACAAATACCAAGTTAGTAGATGCCCAAAACTTCAGGTGCCTACATGGCTAGGCAGGTTATATCTATCTATCTATCTATCTATCTATCTATCTATCTATATATTAAAAAGGTAAAGATAATTTCAAAATTAAGAAAAATAAATCCAGTACAGATTTGTGAAGTGAGTGATTTCACCTCTAATTTTTCATTTTAAAAATTCTGATTTTTATAGACCAAGTTAACTATAAATAAAGCAAGACATTCTTGCATTAGAAAGTGAAATAAATTTTAGTTCAGACATAGAATTAGAATGATTAGAAATAAACTAAAACATTTTTTTTGAAAAAGCACTAAGCCACAACGTAGGTTAAGGCATCCGAGTACCATGGTGGAGCCAGAAGTCCAAGATGGAAGACAAAATTAATATTACAATTTCAATAACTGGCCAGCCCTCATGTTGGTGGCATACCATGTCCCTCTGACCCAAACTTCCAGAAGTCAATGACTTTTAATATACTTGTCCCCTTGGATAAAATTTCTTCTAACCCTTTGTTGTCCAACTTACCAATGACCCTACTTACAATGAATTATGTATTTGATTTCTATTTTACCTTCATTTCTTTTGACCAACTGTATTCTTGATATACCTTTGGCATCCCAAGCTTCATTTCCAAATTACCTGACATATGAATGCCAGAACCTTTATTCTGCTTTGTCTACCTGATATAAAACTTTACATAAACTTATTGATGGCAATATTTTTATTAAACATCTTTGTGTTTTACTGTTACTAAGGTAGTAAAATAATTTATATTCAACCATAATAACATTTCAACTACTAATGGAATAGTTTCTGCTTATCTTAAGGCCTTAACAATTTCTACTACAATTTTCCATAGGCTTAACACTGATAATAAATGATAAACATAATAATGGAATACATATGAAATATGACTTTTTCTTAAACTGTAGGCACTTTGATTTCTAATTTGTTGAAATCTACTGGATATAATTGCTGGTGGAACATAAGATAAAAATGGTTGAGAATTGCAATATAGGGGCAAACAAGTGTAGAACAATATAACTTTGTTACATTACTTTGCCAGTAATTTTACTACTATAGAGACAAAAAAAAGCAAAATCTATTTCATCTCCTCTGAAAAACACTAAATATTGACTATGTGCATTTTGTATAACATACTTAAAATAATTATATTATTAAGTAGCCAAATATATCCATTACATTATTTATATTCTTAAATAAACTATATTTTTCAAAAGTATGTAAAGCCATAGTGATTTTTTTCATAAAACAGTTCAGTATTCTAAAATTCTTATGTGAACATAAGCATATCACAATACACCTATATTGGTATCTGGAGTAGGTCATTTGTCCAATACTTTTGGTGATTCAAAACTAAGTAAGATTTTCCAGAGTAGGAATTGTATCTTTCTTTACCTTTGTACTCCAAGTGCCCATCATGGTGATCAACACATGGCAGGTATTCAGTGACTTTAACCCAAGATCAATTAGCCAACACGTACCTGCATTAGAACTTTAACCTGAGACTTCTGACTCCTTATTTAGATACCTTTCAACCTGGCTATCTTTTTTTAAAAATATTTTCCATCACCACTTTAGTCGGTGTTTTTTATTAAAATATCCAAATGTGTAGTGGCCTTTTGTCACTCACTTGAATGTGTTTTGATGGTCCACAACACATATTACTGAAATGAGCCTGTCCATTTTATTATATCAGAAATGACAATTATGTCAAAACTTATTTTCCCTTATTTTATGTATATCCTTTGGATTTTTTTTATGTATTTATTGAATACCTTGAAATACTGTCAAGAAAGTTTTATTTGAATGAGTAAAGTTACTTGAAAATGGAAAAGAAAACAGAGTTGAAATTTGGGGAATTGGATAGAAAATTGATAATTTAATTAGATGCAGCAGCTTAAAGTCTTAAAATATTGATTCATAACCTCTACATCTGTAGCACAAAATAAGCCAAAAATAATAATAATTTCAACTTGTACAATATATAGTAAAACTCCAATTCTGCAGTACACAGTTACACAAAGGTGAAAGAGATCAGTGTGGGTTTGTCCTTAGGGAAAGAAATCAGACTGAATTCTCTATCCCCATACCCTAGTGCCTATCCCTGTTCTATTCATATATGTATTCTCAAGGTCATGTTAAACAGGTTCCTTCTTCAGGGCTCAGGCAGAAGGGAGTAAATTCAGTTGTTCCAAATCTTAATAGCCAGTGTTGGGGCTAGGGGGCTAAGAAATGCGAGGAATGAATGAATGCAAGAGATAGAAGTGAAAGCCAATTGGTAGAGATAGAATCTATGAGCTATTTCCTGTTGAGGTGCCAAGATGATGAAACACTTGTCTGAGTCCAATTATCGTCCCAGCTCAGAAGACACTCCCATAAAAAGAATGCATGAATCACTAACTAGCATATTAATAACATAGGCTTGGTTTACTACTTAATAGTCTGTACAACTTCAGCAAATTATGTAAGCTCTCTCCATCGCTGTTTATCCTCTGTAAAATGAGGAGGTACCAAATGTTGTGGTAGCTTACCTAATATCCATTATCACCAATCCTACTTCCTTACCAACAGAACCTCATTTTGTACTGGGAAGCAATATGGCCAACTAGAAAAACACTCCTTCCCAGACTCCCATGCAGTTGATGTGGTAACCATTTGACATTGTTCTGGACAATAAAATATAGATAAGATAATGGTCTAAGAAAAACTTTTTTAAAGAAGACATATTCAACTGGCATGTCCTTTTTCACCCTTGGCACCATCAGCAGGTGGGAGCAGAGGCTGCCAGCCCCAATCACCCCTCAGGGCTTCTCCACCTACCCCTGATCCTGAGGGGAGACTGGGGCCACCGGCAGCCGCCTCTCACACCCACTGCCAGCAACGGCCCTGCTCGCACCCGCTGCTGGTGCTAGAACCACTGCTCACACCCACTGCCAGCATCAGCTCCGCTTGCACTCACAGCTGGCGCCAAAGCCGCTGCTCGCACCTGCTGCCGGTGCCAGGTGTGGGTCCCGGTCACTTGGTGCCATTAGAGGGTGCAAGCGGCGGCTGCTGGCCCGATTACCCCTAATGACTTCTCCACCTCCCCTTGCTCCTGAGGGGCAATCGGGGCAGCAACTGCCACTTGTACCCACTAACGGGTACAAGTTAGTACCCGCACCCGCTGATGGTGCCGGCCCCAATCACTCTGTGGCATCAGCGGGTGCGAGGGGGACCAGCACTGTCAGTGCGTGGGGGCGGCGGTGGCAGGAGCAGGGCTGCCAGCAGACAGGGGACTGGGAGCCGTGGCAGGAGGGACCAGGTGGGGGTGCAGAGGATGGGCTAAGACCCACCCTTGTGCCTACCCCAGCCTCGCTGCCCACAGTTCCTTTCAAGGTGCACAAATTCATTCACTGGGCCCCTAGTATAGTCAATAATATTGTAATAACTATGTGTGGTACCAGATGGGTACTTGACATTGGGGTGATCACTTTGTAAGGTACATAAATGTCTAATCACTATGTTGTATGCCTGAAGCTAATATAATATGGTATATTAACTGTAATTGAAAAATAAATTTAAAAATTTTTTTTTAAATCATTGGATAAAAGTACGGATGTTTCAGGATACAGAAATGGGATAGATAAAAAATTATGTAATTATTTATTATTATTAATAGGTCAGAAAAACAATAGAGAAATCAATGAAACCAAAAGCTGAGTATCAAAGAAAACTCAATAAAATTGATAAACCATTAGCAGACTGATCAGGGAAAAAAAGAGGTAATACAAATTAACAATCCTATCTAATAAAAGACAAAAAGGGTAATTAACCATACCTCTGCTATGCTTCCCATTGGCTAATCAGGGCGGTATGCAAATTAACTGCCAACAAAGATGGCGGCCGGCAGCCACGCAGCTGAAGCGAACATGAAGCTTGCTTGCTCCAGTGATGGAGGAAGCCAAGGTTCCCCGCCTGCCGCGGGCCCAGCTCTGAGCCCGAAAGCAACAATGTTTCAATTATAGAAGGTAAATAAATCCCAGAATAAAAAAAAAAAGAAAAAAAGGAGAGGCTGGGAGCTTCAGTCGCTGGCCAGCCTGAAAACGCCCCTCAGCCCCTCACCCAGACTGGCCAGGCACCCCAGTGGGGACCCCCACCCTGAAGGGGGTGTTGCCAGCCTGAAAACAGCCATCAGCCCCTCATCCAGGCTGGCCAGGCACCCCAGCGGGACCCCCACCCTGATCCGGGACACCCTTTAGGGCAAACCAGCTGGCCCCCACCCATGCACCAGGCCTCTATCCTATATAGTAAAAGGGTAATATGAAAACTGACCCTAACAGCACAAAGACTGGGAATGACTGGTCACTATGACACACACTGACCACCAGGGGCAGATGCTCAATGCAGGAGCTGCCCTCTGGTGGTCAGTGTGCTCCCACATGGGGGAGCTCTGCTCAGCCACAAGCCAGGCTGATGGCTGCCAGTACAGCGGTGGTGGTAGGAGCCTCTCCCGCCTCCTCAGCAGCACTAAGGATGTCCTACTGCAGCTTAGGCCTGCTCCCCGCTGGCAAGTGGACATC